CAAGACCCGGGACCTGCCGTGAGGGCCCGGGGCGGGGGGGATCAAGACCCGGGACCTGCCGTGAGGGCCCGGGGCGGGGGGGTTCAGGCCCCGGGACCCGCCGTGAGGGTCCGGGGCGGGGGGAATCAGGCCCCGCGACCCTCTGTGAGGGCCCGGGGCCGGGGGGATCAGGCCCCGGGACCCGCCGTGAGGGCCCGGGGCAGGGGGGGAACGACAGGACGACACAGGCCGAGAGGGCCCGGGGGCGGAGGAGGCGGGGGTCAGGCATCGGTGCCCACCGGTCAGGCCCGGGGGCGGTCAGGCTGCTCGGCAGCCGGTTGTGCGGCCCGGAGAGGGGCGTCAGCGCTCGGTGTGTGTGATGCCGTGCCGGGTGGGCTCCCCTGGGGCTCGGAGGGACCGGGCAGGGCCCGTGCAGCTCTGCGGCGGGGCCGGCTGAGGAGGAGAGCCCCGGGCAGTGGTGTACCAGGGCTGGCAGCTCTCCGGCAGGCTCAAGGTCAGAGCACTGCCAGCCCGGTGGGCTTTGCCGGGGTCCTGCGGCATCCAGTGAGGGTTGGTGTGCGCAGGGAGGAGGAGGAGGAGGCTCCTGCCTCCTCTCCAGAGGGCCTGCCACCGCTGGGTGGATGCTGAGCAGGGCATGGCTGCACCCAGCTGGTTATCTCCACCCAGGGAGCAAAGCTGGCTAGCAGGGGCTTGGTGACCCGGTCACAGGGCAGCCTGGCTTCCCTTCCTCAGTGGGCTCGGTGGCTGGACTGTGATCCAGGGGGATGCACAGGTGGCTGAGCGCTTCTTGCAGGGTTCTCTTCACTAGGCCTTAACCACACCGAACTGGGGACCTCTTTGTAGCTCTACATCATATAGCCCAAGGAAGTAAAATTGAGTTTAGAATCATAGAATCGTCTAGGTTGGAAGGGACCTTAAAGATCACCTAGTCCAACCATCAACCTAACTCTGACAAAAAAATAAATAAGAAATAAGCAATAAAAAAATCACTAAACCATATTCCTGAGGATCATGTCAACCCGTCTTTTGAACACCTCCAGGGATGGTGCCTCATCCACTTCCCTGGGCAGCCCATTCCAATGCTGGATAACCCTTTCTGTGAAGAAATTTTTCCTAATCTCCAATCTAAACCTCCCCTGGCGCAACTTGAGGCCATTTCCCCTTGTCCTATCTCCTGTGACTTGGGAGACAAGACCAACCTCCGCTTCTCTACACCCCCCTTCAGGTAGTTATAGAGAGCAGTAAGGTCTCCTCTCAGCCTCCTCTTCCTCAGACTGAACAACCCCAGCTCCCTCAGCCTCTCCTCATAAGAGTTTCCCCTGAAACAAGCTACCTTTAGCATATGTTACGTTGCCGGCCGGCGTTGGCTTCTGTTCCTAGCATGATTTAACTGCTAAGGCTCCACTGCCTTTCAGAAGAATTGGGTGTTTGCTTTTTTCCTGTTCTGACGCTTGGTTTCCATCAGCCTGCCAAAGAGTGCCTGGCAGGTGGCAAGGAAGACCTCTTAGTGCCACTGAAACTAGCTCTTGCGGGAGACGCTTTGAAAGCAGCTGGTTTTATTTCACAGGCCTCATCAGAACGGAGTGAAACGTGGCGCAGCAACACCTGCCTTCATCTGGGGGCTGCTTGTCGGAAGGTTTTGCTGCCTCAGTTCCTTGAAGGAGAAGTTGCTGGAGCTGTCAGGCTTTAGACTCCAGTGGTGGGGGAGAAGGGTGGGGAATTGCTGCGTGTTCCTCCGGCGACACGAGGGAGATATGGAAAAGCCGGAGGCGATATGGTCAGGGAGAAGATTGTAGCGTGAGGTCTGGCCTTGAACAGTTGTTGGGACAAGATTTCCTTCCTTAGTTCTTCCGTGGAAATGCTGCTGTCAGGTCAGAGGTTCAGCCATCTCTGTGCTGTGAGCCCTGGTTCCAGCGTGTGCCCCTGGCAGGGTGGGTGTTCCCCAAACAGTCACTTGAGGGGGAGGGAATGGCTGGCTCTGAGTAGCCTGGCAAGAGCTTACTTGATCCTGAAGTGCCTTGGTGCTTGTGCTCTGTCCTGAATAAAGAAGCTGGGTGTTCTCGTGATGCCTCCTTCTCAGGGGGCTTGGTTTGCTAAATGCAGCTTCAGGTTTCAATTACGTGTAGAAATAACTGTCTGGCTTCCAAAGCAACCTGCAAATTACCCACTTCTCTGTCCTTACAGACAAACCTCCCCATCTTCAAACTGAAGGAGTCGTGTGTGAGGAGACGATACAGCGATTTTGAATGGCTGAAGAATGAGCTGGAACGAGACAGTAAGGTGAGGCCTGGCTCAGACCTGCCTGTTCCTGAAACGAGGACGTAGAGGAAGGGTTGTAGGGACAATCTTGAGCTGCCCAGAGGAGAGGCTGTGGTGGTGTGTGGCCCTTGGGGCTTCATCTCTGCCCACATAGTGGGGCTGGAGAAGAGCCTCAAATGGCCACGGGTGGCACTGGCAGGTGGCCGTTCTGCTGACGGTGTGATTATTTAAGAAATGTATAGACATGGCTCTTCAGGACATGCTCTAGTGCCCAAGGTTATTGGTTTATGGCGAGGTATTGAGTGTGAGGTTTAGTTGGTGGGTGTGGTGTTTTTGGTGGGCGTTTGGTGTGGGGTGTTGTGTTCTTTGGGGGTTTTTTTGCTTTTTTTTTTTTTTTGTGGTTGGACTCGATGATCTCAGAGGTCCCTTCCAACCACTACGATTCTGTGATTCTGTGATTCTCTGCTTTCAGATTGTAGTGCCACCGCTGCCTGGAAAAGCTTTGAAACGACAGCTTCCCTTCCGAGGAGACGAAGGCATCTTTGAGGAGTCCTTCATTGAGGAGCGGAGACAGGGACTAGAACAGTTTATTAACAAGTAGGCTTGGTGTCCTGGGTTTGTTGGGTGCTGCGTGGGTGGAAGAGGGCTGTGGGAAGGAGTCTTCTTGACCTGCTGCAGGTGGGTGCCGTGCTCAGGGATGGTGCCTGCAGCCTGGGCTGGAAACCACGGGTCTGAAGGGAGTCTGGGTGGTGCTCAGTGCTCTCTTCTGAGAGTGAAGTGAATATTAGCAGGATAGCTGTGCTGCAGGGACCCCATGGATGGGGTAGTGCTGGTTGGGGGTGCTCCTACCCCATGTGGGGCACGGCGTGGGAGGGAGCACCCCGTGCTGGCCCTGCTGCGCAGCGTCCCCGTCACCTGAAGCCAGTGGAGGGGGGGTCTGCCCTACCTGCTCCCTGCAGAGAGCGCAGGGGGGGGGTCTGGGTGGTGTCTGTGCTGACCCCCACGTCTGATTTTTCTTCCAGAATTGCTGGACACCCGCTGGCACAGAACGAGCGCTGCTTACACATGTTCCTGCAAGAGGAGACTATTGATAGGAATTACGTCCCAGGGAAAGTGCGCCAGTAGGAGCACCTGGCACTGTCTTCCTCCATTCCACCCTCCCTCCTGCAAAAATGACATTTATTTTTACACTAAATCTGTCTTCTCTGAACCAGCTTTTCCTCTCTTGAACCTCCCAGTTTGTTCAGTATTTTCCTCTTTTTGTAACTGGCAGCAGCTTGTTCTACTGGGCTGTGTGGTCTTGGCCTAAAGGTATGAAGATTTATGCAAGTGAGCGTGTTGTCCTGTACCTGGGGGCAGATGAGAATAGGTGTGGAGCAGGAACTTGCTCGTGGCGTTACGGTGTAGGAGCTGCCTCCCTCCCTGTGCAGGAAGGTAGGAGATGACCTTCACTCCCCCTGTCTGTGCAGCCCCGAGCATCTCCGCAGGAGGCTCTGAAGAATAGCAGTTGTCATGTTGGTCAGTGATCCCGGCGGGAATTAGAGTTTTAGTAAGGCTTATCCAAACCAGTGAGTAGGTGCCTGGGTGTGTTGGTCTCTCGTCCACCCTGTTCACCCACCCTGCATGAAACCAAACCCCCCGTTCTTCACTGTCTGGAAGTGCTGAGACCCAAGATCTGCTCTAACCCCGCTCTCAGCCTCCTGCATTACAGACCCGGTTGGTGTTAATTTGTGTTAATCCCCCCTCCTCTCTACCGTGCTGCTGGCAGCTGGAGGGGTGTCTGTGAGGTGTGCTCTGCGTGGGCACTCTGGCTGCAGCAGCGTGTGCCGTGGGGCCCAGGGTTTAACGGTGGCTGCCGCGGGCTGATGGGGTGTTTCCAGCGGGACAGGGGGGACCTGCTCCTGCGCCCCAGCTGCAGCTGAGGAGGGGGCTGGCAGGGGCTGCTGTAGCATGATGGCTGCTCCAGTGGGGGGTCCTGGGGTGAGGCCACCTCTCCAGAAAGGGACGGCACAGGTTGCCCCATTGGTGCTGGGTTAGGCACTTGCTAAGGAAGAGGGTGAAGTGACGGTGGCTGTGTGTGCTCTCCCCTGTTGTGCAGTGATCTGGGCAGCTGGTGGTGTGGTTGCCAGGACGGGAGACGGCTCGGGCTGGTGCCCAGGTGCTCAGAGCTTGAGGGGGGGGACCCTGCGGCCGTGACCCCGCTGCAGCAGGGCTGTCCCGTGGAGGCTCCTCCAGCTGCCATGGGTGGGTGGGCCGTGGTCCCGGGGGTTTCTAGGCGCTTGGTGGGTGGCACTGGTGGCACGGCTGAGCCTTTCCTGGGGCGCAGCCCTGCCCTTCCCGCCGAGCCCCGTCCCCCACGGCCTCCCCGAGGTCTCCTCCCGGGTTTTTCCGGTGAGGAACCGGCGCTGCCGGGGGAGAGGTGGCTCTCGGGGAGGAGGAGAAGCCGCTGAAGGCGGGAGGGCACCGCTGCGGGGGGCGGGCAGGGCTGCGGGGCAGCGCGGAGGCCGGTGGAGGCGGCCGGTGCCCTGAGCCCCGTCCCCGGTCGCCGCCGCCCGTCCCGTCGGTCCCGCGGGGCTGCCGCCGCCCAGCTCCCCCCCCCCCCCCCAAAC